AAAAAAAAAAAAAAAAAAAATTCAAACGGAAAATTTTAATGAGAATTTAGAGAATATATTATGTTTCTGTTTGAATTTTGAATTGGAGCATCAAACCCTTGATTAACATTAATCTTCGAGCTCGTCGCTTCACAGAATTGGAGGTTCTCACTTGTACAGCAATACTTCATAATCCCAAGTAATTTCTTAAGCAGCTATCCATTTACTTTCTGATCCATAAAATTTGATGTATCTGCTGAATTACCGAATATGTCGAATGTATGTAAAATATGGGTTAGCTTCCTCACGGTTCATGACTCACGAGCATACGAGATCGTTGACAAGTAATATAATTAATAAGTTTAGAGTATCGTCTTACAGGAAATAAATTCAACTCAAGTTTTAATAATTTTGTATGGAATTCAAATTATGTAACATAAAAGAGTTTGTTACTCGTATAAATAATCGCTCCCCACGTGGCGGATCCGAGGGCCCCTACCTTACGTGGCGACGTAGACGAACCTATTAAAAGTAGGAGGGATAGCCTCTCATGTGAGCCGAGATTTGGCCGACCCCATTTGAACAGACCCCCGTGAAGGAGCCTATTTGGGCGAGACGATGGAGAGATTCCTAACTGACCTTATGGCGAAGTGATTGACAAGACCACTCACTGCCAACGCTACCTCTATACACCTGCACTGTCAAATCTCACTTGTACAAACTAGGATTTATAGATGTGCAAGGGATCTTAGCATTTAATGCCTTGATTGACAGATTGATTGATGCGTGTAACAAGAAGGGCTAGTCAGCCTGATTAAACCACGTGCCCTATCATCCAACGGACCTTGTTCCTCATACTCGAGTATAAAAACCCACACTTAGTGTCATTCAAGGTTAATGTAAGTTTAGACTTTCAATCCAATATTTTTGCTACACGCACTCCTGATACTTTATCCAAAGTCGACCCCTCTTTTTTCAATCGGAATCTCATGTTCTAAAGCTCTCCCACTTCCTAAATCATTCCTCCAACTTGGCTCAACCGTCTTAACCAACAACTGGTCCAAGTGCGCTAGGATGTTTTCCCAAGAAGGTGAGGAAAATAACATAGCTGCATACCTCAAGTGCATGGCATGGGTGACAACTCGGTTGAGAGGGAAGTGGAAGTAGATTCCTCTACCAACTACGTTACGAGCCGATGTGAAGATAACATGCCGCATGAAGGAAATTTCCCCCTCGAATATGCTCAAGAGCATGAACCTCAAAGGTCTCATAGCATCTTTGATCGAATGGGGCCATCTAGGCCTAGAAATAGGTCTTATCAGCCACCTTCTATTCAGAGAGAACAAGAACATGACCAAGGATATGAACCTCAAGGGATTACCTCCGCCTAGATATAGGCGTGAGAGGAGGGACGAGGCGAACGCAAGGAATCAAGCAGGGACGTCACAACCCCCTCGATACCAGGCAGAGGAAAATGATTTAGATGGTTCATGCAGATCATTTGAGATGGATGATGATGACGAAAGCTTGCCATTCCCCCAAGAATTGAGAAGCACCCCTATCTTGATTACGCCAAAAGAATAATGCAGTAGTTGTAGTGCAGCTTTGGGGTGTAGTATCCACAGGGAGATTGGAAAATTATCAAGGGTTCCAAAGAGGATGGTTGTTCTCACGAATTATTGGAAATACATTTGCTTGTCACGGAATCTAGATTAATATTTGGAAATAAGGAAATTAAAATCAATGAATAAGAGAGTAAAACGTCGGGATTCTCTCAATCGGATCAGATCAATCACATCAATTATTCCATTTTTATAATACAATTAGAGGCTTTCATCTTGACACTCTAATAGGAAAACATGTCGTTTAAACCCAATTTAATTCTAATGTAATCCTAATGGTTAATTTTCCTATTGCAATGTCACACTTGGTTTATCGAAATCAGATTCAAAATCGACTATATACTAAAGCATCAAGTAGTAGAGAATCACACTAATAAACTTAAATAATTGAGATTAAAATCGAAGTAATTATTTCAACCAATCCATAGAGAGAGCGTGACTAATTCTATGACCAATTTAATAAAAACTAAACCAATCTCAAAATTAATTCTCGATAAGGAGAATAAAACCATTGAATCAATTTAATTTCAATTGTAACTTTAGAATCTAGTTTCCCTATAACACAATTACGCATTAATGTATTGGAATAAGATAAAAAATCGACTTTATGCATCTAACATAAAGTAGTAAACAATCTACCAATAACATTCATGAGATTATAATTCAACAAATATTTCAATTCGTCAATAGAAAAAGAGTTACTGAATCTATGATTAATTTAATAAAAGTTAAAATCAATCTCATTACAAATTCATGAAAAGAAACTATAAATTTCAGAGTTGTTCAACAAGAGAATACCAAATTATGCGAATAATAGATGTGTAATCACCAATTTCGAAAGATTTCCTCCCTAGCTTCACCGAAAGAACTAGTTGTTCATGGTGTTTCTTGAGCCCAAGAGATGATAGAATGATGAATAATGAGGAATGATGCGTTCTGGTACGTTCTGGGGTCTTTTATGGTTGAGAAATCGTGTCACAATAAGTTACCATAAGTGTTTGAGTCGTAGAAGAAAACTTAAAATTTTGCTCACAGAAATGACCTATGCGACCGCACAGTTCCAACCCATGAGGTCGTATAGAACAAAGTATTTCAGCCTCTTGATTCCCTGAAGGCTTCTGTGCGATCACGAGGTTTTACATTTTTTTCCATCGGATAGCTTTCAGTATTTTAGCCATAACTTTCTCCCTTGATATCTAATTGAGGTGATTCAAGATGCGTTGGAAAGATAACTCAAAGGGCTAAAACTTTGCTTCATATGTCAACTTCCAATTCGATCGTCCACCATGTCCAATAAAAGATTCTCAATATGAGGTTGAAAATTGGTGTAAAACTTTTCAGCTTGAAAGTTGATATGTGGTAATGTTTTGGCTGTATTCGATCTCTTTGACTCATTTCCTTATCCAATTGATCTCTAACACTCTCGAATCTTCATCACAAGGTTGGAAACAAGTTTAAAGTATTTACACTTTAGTCCCTGACTTTCACTTTCTCCATTTTTGGCCATTTTTCTCTTGTTTTTCCTTATTTCAGCTACATTCATCACTTTGTCCTGCAAAACGTAAATCACATAGAATTAAACTATATTCCAACATATTAATCTACAATTTTCCATGTTTTGACATTATGATAAGTGTGTAAAAATGCACTTATCAGGTCCCAAGTCACTTCGTACCCCCAAAGATACCCAAATACGAATGGAAGGGTGATCCGGCAAAGCATCCCAACAACTATAAGACCCACATGTCTCTACGAGGAGCCTCACCAATGCTAAAATGTAAAGCTTTTCATCTTACACTAACAGGAACTACAGAAATTTGTTACATCCGTATCCCAACCGGCAGCACAGAAGTTGGCCAGACCTAAAAAAGGTATTTCTGAACCAATATTTGTCTAGTAAAGAGGGAGAATCCCCCATCTAGAGGCTGCAAGACATGAGATAGCAGATAGGTGAGACCTTGAAAAGCTACTTGGCCCATTTCACAGATGAAATGACATATTGCGAACAGGTTATGGATAGAGAGGCCCTTTCTGCCCTAAGGGGGGCCTCAACATGAACATCCTATTCTGGAGGGACGTGTGGAACAGGAAACCCA